GACATAAACCACACACTTGAGGTGTCATTGTCTCCTATTACCCTGAGATGGGACCGTCTGGTTGCAGAAAATCAAGCTCGGTGCTGTGGTGAGTCGTCCTTTTCATGCACTTTGAATTTGCGTTGTATCGTATTTTGAAGGCATTAAACATTGCCATAGCGATCGGAGTGTTGCGGCCAGATTAGACGCTCCTTGTGTTTATTATTATATTTCGAAAACGCCACAGTTTTCATGCAGCTCATACCATATTATTTCGTTGTATTATTTCCGCCACACCTTAAATGCCGGTCCCTGAAAATATTGTCTGACATAAACCGGTCCGTGGGGCAAAAAAGGTTGGGGGCCCCTGATTTAGAGTGTCCAATCAGCCTGCCATGCATGTTTTTGGAATGTGGGAGGAAACTGGAGTACCTGGAGAAAAGCCACACAGGGCCGGGGAGAACATGCAAACTCCACACAGGGAAGCCGGAGCTGGAATTGAACCCGGTAGCTCTGCACTGTGATGTCGACACGCTAAGCACTGGACCACTGGGCCGCCCCCATACATTACAATGGCCGTCAATTATCTGCAGATTTTTGGTATTCGCGGGCCAGCCCGGTCCCTTCACTGTCCGTTGTATAACTCTTGAAGTCAGCGTAAAGGCTCCTGACCGTTGTCAAGTGCTGGATGGAATGGCCGTTGCATTATGACTCTTTTGGCGGTGGACTGTTCCATTTACAGTTTGCATTAATAAGTCTTGAAAAATACAGTCTTAGAAATATCTTGTGGCGACATTTAGTCAATGAGATTTTTTAAATTTACTGGAAATACCCTCAATAAAGTTTTTGATTTGAGTTACGCCATGAATAGTTCTGGATCGGAACATGTTTTTCCAGCACTCAGCATCCATCCAGCCATTGTTGCCTTTTAATGAACTGCTTTAATGATGCTTGGCTTGGCGTGATAACACATTTTCCCCACCTAAGCCCGACTGGAGGTCTGTAAACTTAGAAGTAGAGCAACTTTGACTTGCCATGGTGACCTGCCAATCCTGCTAATGGACTTGGCAGCCAGCGTTTGCTGGCCTGTGACTTTTGGCGCCGAGGCTCACCTCAGTGTGTAAAATAAGATTTTTGTTTGGGTGATTGTTTCACCTTGTGTGAATCCTGAAGAGCATTTGCATGTTATTTTGTGCCAAAATTCTTGATGATATCATTCCATCCGTTTTTTGTGCTTCCACCCGCTTTGCATTTCTTCTCCAATTTGAATCATGAAAACATCCTGTATTTCCCAAATTTGGTATATTCTGGGTTGTATTTTTCACATCCCCAAAATTCCCAGTTGGCTACAATTCCACATTGGGCACAAGAAAAAAAGGGAACATTTACATCTTCAGCAACAACCTTCCTCATGTTGCCCATTCCAACTTCCAAACTGTTCAGCTCATTCAGAACATCTTGACACATGCATTTTCTACTGTCACCTTCGTTATCAATCTGCGAGAACTCTCGGTTTTCTGCGTTAAAAAAAAAAAAAAAAAAGCTTCAACAGACAGAAAGGTATATTTCACAATGAAAGCTTTTCTGAACAACTCAAGGCATTTAGAAGCCTCCTTTCTGCTCGACAACACTCGGACAAGTTGGAGCAACATCGGCATTCTGTCCTGTCATAAATCGGGCCTTCAAACGTGCTCGAATAAGATAAGATATATCCTTTTGCTACAACTTTCATTGAACAGTAGTACGCACACACATATTTGTTGTTCCGATAAAACTGATAACACTGAATAATAATGCAATCACAAAGCGACATGTCGCTTTTTAGAATAGGCAGCGCTTCCTGAAAGGAGAGGCTGGCAATGATTTATAACGCGTCATCTCAAAGTGTCTTGCCTCAGGGCAGCTTGAGGATATTTCTTGAAGTAAAGGCAAGGGTTAGAATCACCTTCCCACATCTTCCGACTCACCAGAATCGTGTATTGGTAACAATTACTTGACAGCATATCGAAATGTTGAAATCCCTTCTGTTCACTCCGGACGGATCTTCCGTCCCATCTGTTTCTCCTCCAAGGCCTCCTCGCACGGTGCCCCCTTGGAGACGCTGAGTAAACGACTCTTTTTGCATCTGGTTCCCATTGCACACACACGTTTTTAGCTGCAAAGCATTTTGAGTGTCCAGCTGTTTTTTAAACCTCTTCCTGTGACTGGAAGTAACCTTGGTGGAGGTGAGCTGTTCGAGGGGTTACACACTCTAAAAACATAAAAGCATCAACTTAGTTTTTGGACTTGCACATTTTCAGCCTGAAACAATGTCTACTACTCCTTATTTACCAACTTGGCATGATCGTTTTCCCCATGAACTGCTCTACAGGCACGTAAATAGTGAAAAAATTGCTTGACATTGAAAGTGATGAAGACTCTCTTAACTTCCTCAGTCGGTCCGCAAGAAATTGTTCGGACGTCTATCATAACACATCTCCCGAAAAAGTCCAAATGAACTACGAACAGACAGTGCGAATTACTGGGAAATGTTTTTGGTGTTCATCATTACAGCCTGTAGCTGTACAAGTGGCCAGTCTCATGACCACTTTCTCGGGAGTCACATTGTCATTTGTCAACCGACTGAGACGAGACGCCAATCAATCCACATCATCATCCACGGTTTTATTTCCTTTTAAAATAATTCATACAAATGCATACAGTCACAAACATATCTTTCATCAGGGCTTTTGACCAAAAATAATATTTACTGTAGAATATAGAATATGTGTATGTATATGTATATGTGTGTGTGTTATATATATATATATATATATATGTGTGTGTGTGTGTATGTACTGTATATTGCTACACCTACTACTTAATCATAAAGAGGACAAACAAGTAGGCAACAGTGGACTGTGTGTCACTACCAGGGAAGGAATTTCAAAGTGCTGTTTTTGTTCAAGAATGACAAACAGTTTCTCTAAGGTTGCCACAGAAACAGCAAAGGTGTCAGGCATCTTGTGAGGAATGTGTAGTCCACGGGAATTCCTTGCATGATTCCCAAGGCCCGAGAACGTACACGTTCCAGATTTTGACCCAGCGAAAACTTGGCACTCAGCTCAGGTTGGAGAACGGAATCGGAATCGTTCACGTCAATGTGAAATGTCCATCCCTGGTCGCTACGTTTGCTACCGCGACGTAAAGGAGAACGGGTAGGCAACAGTGAACTGTTTATTACTCAAAATGCTGGATCTGGAGTGGGATCCTGAAAGCACCGTCATGTGGACAAAGTCACAGATTCGAAAATGCAACTTTAGGTCCTCAGCTACTAACGTTTTGCTTCTGTTTTTGTGCTGGAGGGACCTAAAGCTTTCTGGGTGACTTTGTCATCACGCACATTTGGTCAAGTCATCAAGCTTAGCCGCCCTGCTTCACCCACAAGCAGTGGTGAAAAAAAAAAACGAACGAATATCTTTTGCGTTTAAGCGTTGCTCATCTGTCCACTCCACGTGATCAAAGTTTTCCTTTCTCGGTTCAAGATTTGCGATGAAAGAGAATTAGCCGTAAAATGGCTGCTTCGATCAAAAATGGGAGATTTCTTGTGTCTTTTCAGGCATCCCTTCAAGAGACCTTTTAAGGGTCTACTCATTATAGCCATGCCAAGCAATTTTCATGTTGATAATTCGAAAGTGGCTTTGAGGGCAGATTGTTTTTTTCCCCGATCGCGTGCCTACTGAGCCACTTGACCCTAAATTGGACACTTTGAACCAAAATGGGTGACTTCCTGAGTCATCAGTCATGCGTTTGTGAAACATTTTTATGGGTCTACTCATGATAAATGTGCCTACCAAAGTTCATGTGAATTTTCAAATTGGCATGAATGGCCAAAATGTCGCTAAAACGGCAAACTTCTTGGGCTTTTTCGGGCATGGCTTCTTGAGAGGTTTTTTTTTCCTACGCCCAACAATAATCATGACAAAGAAACAAAGCAAAGAATTGTAGTCCCACGCATTGTGACGTTTTAGCTGTAAACTCCGATGGAAGCCTTTACACTCGTCTATAGTTGAACGCTTGACCAAACAAACGTAAAGTACAATAAGCAGCGCACGGGTAGCTCGCTTCAACCGACGCAGGTGAACGTACCCTCAGTGACGATGCCTTGAGGAGCCCTGCACTCCCGCTCGCAGCGCTGCTTTTTAGACACAGATACAAACCAAGTCACATTGACACAGGCAGGCAGAAAAACACCACCACAATATGCACACGTACGGACACGGAGAGCACATCGGTGGCCAAACGGTACACTTAGTAAGGACCCATCATGAAATGTTAAAGGTAGCGTTGTACTATCCACTCTGGTGCTTTATCCAAATGCTTCAAAGTAAGGAACCACGGTAGGAAACAGAGGATTTGGATGATTTTTGAAGGGGGCAAACCTTGTGCCGAAGTCCAGAGCTGTATTTGCGGTGGAAGCTCTGGATCACGAAAAAGATATACTAGAGTGAACCCCCATTTATTGCCGGAGCTACGTTGCAGACGCACCTGCCGTAGGTGAAAATCTGCCATATAGGCAGACATTAAAAAAAAAAATGTAGATAGTTTCACCCCTTAAACAGACTTAATAAGAGTCAGTCGGCTTATTGAGTGAGTTAACTGGGACAGAGAGAGAAGTTAGTGGCCACACTTGTGTTGCTTAGGCATTTAAATTAAGAGTTTTAAACCAGGGTTAGGGCTACAAGTTTAGGTTTCAAGACCGGTTTAGAGGTTCAAAATAATAGGTTATGGTTTGAAGACAGGGTTAGGGTTTTGAAAGAGTTGTTCGGGTTCAAAATTAGGGTTTCAAACCAGATGCATGATTTTAAAGTCGGGGTTCATGCTACGTATAGGATTTCAAGTTCTGGTTTCAAACAAGTTCACATTTCAATTTTAATCCAAGATTAATATTTCGATTAGGCGTTCAAAACAGGGCTACTGTTTCAAATTTTGGTTCCAAGCCAGGGTTCGGGTTTTAAACCAGATGTATGATTTCAAAGGAGGGTTTCAAACAAAAGTTGAGCTTTCCAAGTAGGGTTTCAAAACCGGTTTACCAGTTCCAGTTAGGCTTTCAAATCAGGGTTCAAGTCTTGAGGGTTTCAAACAAGGGTTGTGGTTTCAAATGACTGTTTCAGGCCAGGATTGATGTGTTTTATTCTCTAACTGAAAAGCGCATTGTAGAAATAGTTCCACATGCGAAGGCATTACAGCAACGAAGTATACTGTAAGAACGCTGGACAAAAATGACGCCTATTAAGTGCAGCTTTCCACGCTAGATAAATAGATACGTCCCATATGAAAAATGTGCGACGTAGCGGGGCTGCGGTCGGTGAACGCGAGATAGCGGGGGCACACTCTACACATTTAATTCTGCTACAGTACAGAGTCTCGGTGCATCGCCTGGCATCGTCCCAACATCACTGACAAAACATTTCAATGCCAAGCAGAGTATTTCGCCACCTGTCTCCAACCGTGCAATCTCTTGGAAATGGCACGCTATGTACAAACGACAGCAAACTACCCAAGCACTTTGAGTTGTAACCAAAGGCCAGGATTCCCAAAGAACTACAAAGAGAAGCACTAAACGGCAGGAAATAAAGTCAATAACAGACCAACTGCGGAAACTGAAGTTCCTGAGATGGTGTGCAAAACAGCTGCCTCAGTTTCGGGGTGGCTGGTTAAGGAAAAATCTCGCACAGATGAATGTAGTTCTTTTCCGGCAACTTCCAGCCTCCAGTTTAAAACCGCGATTCCCAACCTCTGTGCCTGATATGCCGTGAGAGATTATGAGGTGTGGAAACTATACACCTCCCGCCCCCCATTTCAATTGTTTATTGACAACATTGATGAAGACATATCAGGGATTTGAGTTAGATACTCCTCCACTACATGGCACAATAATATTTTTGTGTTCGAGTTTAACATGCCCAGAGAATTTGTGGGTAAGATGTGGTAAATGTTGGTCAACAGGATCTCATTATTTTGGTGTATGGTGGTACCTTGGCTTTCAAGTTTAATTTATTCCATGACTGCGCTCATATCTTAATCCACTCGAATGGTAAATAAACGAATTGGAATGTCATGATTCCGGTCCAGTCCCACCGTAACTCTGTTTTTAAGAAAGAAAAATCGGTACCCCATGTGTCTACTTTTTGTGACATTTGTGCCATAAGATTTTTCTCACATAAAATAATGAGCATTGGCTCTTTCAAAGGTTGGGAAACATGGTCTAAAAGCTGTCCGTTTGTACAACTTACATTCTAGAGACTACTGTTTTGTTGGGGTTTTTTTTTTTTTTTGCTCCTATGCCCAAGGAATGACGGTGAGGGAAAAAAAAAAAGAAGAGACCGATGGGAAATTTTGGACACACGACAGTCAAAAAGATTATTCTTCTCTCAGTCGCAGATGAGCTCTTTGCATTTCCTGACCGTCACTATCGTCTTCTTGGCTCTCGTTGGAGTGTCAACAAGCGACGTAGTGCCGATGTCCTGTACATTTTGGAATCAGTAGTTATTTACTGGACTTTTACTTCCCGTTGTGCTTTTGGACTACAGCTGCTCATTTGGATGCTGTTCTCTGTCACTCTCTGGTGGCTTGACCGTGTTCTGTCCAGGCGACGGGGTGTGCGGCGGGTGCGCGACTGCCGGCGGGAGAGGGTGCACGACGGGCACTGCGCTGGGCACGATGCCCTCCACGGGGGGCGGGAGGCCGCCGGCAGTCATGCTCACAACCCCCGGCGGGTACCTGGCAGGAGGAAAGAGGAATTAGGATTAGCCCTGTGCTCCCCATGAACTTACTCCTGTTTGATAAAAGCATGTTATTTTCAAACACAGGTACAGTATAGGGTTTGAAGTCTGGGCATCAATAACTGAAATCAAACTTTTGCCAAGATTGGTGATGAGTCTTTCACATCACTCTGTGGGGGACCATGTCTCTGGTCTCAGAAGTGTCATTACCTGTAGGCTCCGTTGAGTTCTGGGTGGACGTTGGCCGGTTCGACTGCCGTCCAGTGGTTGTTCTGGGTCAGGAACTCCTTGTTGACGCAGTTCTTCAAACTGTCTGGAATACGACCTGAACATAGATGGAATCGTTTTGGAATGGAACGGTTTGAATTAAAGCTGGCGATCAGGGCGGTCCTGACCTGTAATGGCTCTTCGGATCTCCCTGGCCGCCTCCTCCCGCATCTCCAGCGAGGCCTGTTCACTGTACCAGGCGGCATGAGGGGTGCAGATCAGGTTGGGCGCGTCCTTCAGGGGACCCTGACTGAAACTATAAAGGTAAACACACAATATGAAAGGGGCAAAGGTATGAGGTGAAACATTTAGGCTATCTATCTATCTCTCTCTCTCTCTCTCTCTCTCTCTCTACATACATATATATATACACACATACATACATATATGTGTGTGTGTGTGTATATAATATATATAGGCTAAGGCTCACATGACATGACAGGCGCGTATATATATATATATATGTGTGTGTGTGTGTATATAAGTGTATATATATATATATAGAGAGAGAGAGAGAGAGAGAGAGAGAGAGAGAGAGAGAGAGAGATAATGTAAATGCCTGGTCAAAACACTTGCCAATTGGTTAGCATATTGAAAATAACAATATAATAATATAACCCTGACAACCAACCAGAATTTATACCTGAAAGGCTCCGTCTCGTGAACATCCAGGGCAGCGCCGCGTATCCTTCCATCCTTCAGGGCCTGGGCCAGGGCCTTCTCATCCACCAAACCCCCCCTGGCCGTGTTGACCAGGAATGCCCCCTGACGCATCTGGAAAACACACACACACACACACACACACACACACACACACACACACACACACACACACACACACACACACACACACACACACACACACACACACACACTGTGTTTCAGTTTCAAATGAAACTGAAATCAAATCAAGGTCTGGTTCAGCACCTGCTTGACGGTGAAGTCGTTGATGAGGTGGTGGTTGTGTTCATTCAGGCTGCAGTGCAGTGACACACAGTCAGAATGAAAGAGCAGATCCTGTGGGGGGTAATTTTGAGATAAATATTCATTTAACCCTTTCATGCATCCTGTAACCTGACAACATAAGATGTCTACTGTAGTAACCACTCTCCGTGAAAGGATTAATTTCCAAAATGTAATAATAATACATTTCGAGTCAACTTTTGTGTTGTATGCTCTACGCTTGAAATTGTCCATGGCAACAACAAAGGTTAAAAATGCAGAGCGGAGGCCAGCCTTCTCCAGCCGTCAGCACAAGAATGTCTTAATTAAAGTATCGTTGTTTGTTTTATCAGTGCAATACAATTATTACTATTTTTTTCCATAGAAGTGATTGACATAATTCACTATTGGTTTGTAAAAAGTATCGTGTATGAACCTTTCAATTTGTTGGCTATTCTCTTGTGTTCAAATTGATCAAAGGCATACATATGCAGGCTGATCTGTTTGGCACTGTTGAAAAATGAATTGAGCATCTCAGTTAGAGTTGGGGAGGGCGGCCGATACTTGATGGTTAGCCTCAGGGTCTATGAGGAGGTAAAGGCGGCCCAGAATATGACATGATATGGCATAATACAGTGGAATTACCATACAATATTTACAATGGAAACACGTACAGCTTCATGTGGGAAAATCTGTCAAAATTCATCGAGAGCTCAATGTCAAGGAGTACCTGTAGCGTGGTGACCCTTTGAAGCCCCAGGGATCTCTCCACGCCGTCAGCCAAATAGGGATCATAAAAAATGACATTGAAGCCAAATGTTTTGGCTCGCAGGGCTACGGCCTGGCCCACTCGACCTACACGCACGCACGCACGCACGCACGCACGCACGCACGCGCACACACACACACACACACACACACACACACACACACACACACACACACACACACACACACCTTAATACACAGTAGCATGGCAGTACAGTAGTTAGTGGAGCAGATGACTGGAGTCAGATGACTTCAATGAAGTCAGAATTCAATAGCTGTTTTGATCTTGGGTGCATCCTTTGTGTTGTAAGATTAAATTTATTAATCGTGTGTTTTTTTAGCTGTGTTTGAGATGCTATATTTTGTTGGCCGTCCTTAGAAGCACCTGGCTTGTACACATTCACAGTTTGTGTAAAGAGCTGGTGCGCAACTTTGTCTTTCCAGTGTATAATGTCACATCAGTTTGCGCTAGCATGTCATTTTGGCCAGTATGCAAGCTAATACTCTTGATGCACGTCATGTGAGGGATGTTTGTTTGTGTTCAATAATTGAACGACTAAATCCATTTTTTTTATATCACAGGTTTACCAATTGTGTGTCCATGCTGCCATTGTTGCTTCATGATATTTGAATTCAGTGCTTTGCTGCCATCGTGTGGCGTCTATACACAATTGCTACACCTTTGGGGCACATCATTGAATTGCACTCTTCACACATTCACATCTGGGCTCGCCCCATATCTCCCGTGAATAGCAAGTGTTCAATGACTGACCGAGTCCGATGAGTCCCAGTGTCTCCCCTCTGATCCTCGCCGCTCCTGAAGCCACTTCTCGAATCTGCTCCACGCTCTGGACCCGCGTGCCCTCCCGGAGAGCCTGCCGTTGTAGCGGTGCGTGACGGATGATGTGACGTGATGGTTTTTTTTCTTTTTCAAAGTCAAAAGCCACAAACCTGATGGAGCCATGTGGTGCGCCGGTACAAGGTGAGGATGTGACACAGTGTGGAGTCAGCTGTCTCTTCTACGGAGGCAGCTGGCATGTTACACACGACAATTCCTGTTGGAATAGAGAATGGGAACATTTTTAGCAATACCTTAATGGCATCCTGTGCAACCCCCGGTTTAGGTTATTTCGATGGTCCGCAAATCGTACGGTATTCTGTATAATTTTTTTAACTGAATGTCAGACAGCAATGACTTCAAAGTCTACACTAACTTTTGTAGAGACGAGGTTTCCAACTACATCACCCATGTCCTTCTATGACATCAAAAGTATTTGTGCCAGGATTTGGATTTTCAGTGCTTGATGGATTGTGATGGTTGGTTAAACATACAGAACTGTTTAATCGTGATCCTACAGGGATGAATTTAAAGTACACATCAAATCAAAAATGTTCTTTACAATAATATGTTCTTTGCGCCCCCACTAGTCAAAACAGGGTATTCTGATTAATATTGCAGTTGTGGAATATGAACTAAGTAGAAAAATCCATCCATTTGTATCCGTCTCAATGGGTGCATTTTGCCTTGCACTGCCACTTGTTGTCCACTGAAAACTGAAAATGATGTCAAAATACCTAAAAGGGCTCAGTTTGCGAACCTCACAAGACCAAATCCAGAAAACAGGCTGGTCATGCCATGAATATAGAACATATTATTGGAAAGTAATTCTTTGACTCGACTTGCCCTTTAAAGGGACAATCGGTGTGTGTGTGTGTGTGTGTGTGTGTGTGCGCGCGCGCACATACACACACACACACACACACACACACACACACAAATAGATAGATAGATATAACCTTTGGCACAATGGTGAGCTAATTTCCACTGAAATAAGTGGCTGTTTTTCTAATCTGGAAGACACCTGGCTCACTAAAACACCATCCTAAAGCTGGCTGCTACAAACATCTGATAAGTGTTGGAGCCAAGCTTTGGTCTGTTTCTGCAGTCTGCAGGTTGTTTGGAAATACAACTTCACACTGTTGTCACAGCACCCCTGTGACACTGCCTCCAAAGACAGCAGAGTGTCATGTTGAAGTCCCCCCCCTCCCCCATTTTCTGTGTTGGTACTGTGACAGGAAAAACAAGCAGTGTGAAGGGTTCAAATGGCTCACCAAGTTCGCCCGCAGACTTGATGTCAATATTGTCATAGCCGCTACCGATGCGCACAATGATGCGGAGAGCTTTGAACTTCTCCAGGTCTTCTCTCATCAGAGTGATGGTGTGATACATCAATGCCCCCACAGCTTCATTCAGCACCTGCATACACAGAATGCTTGGATTACCTCAGGACCGTATTTTGTATAGAATATGAAGCATCTGAATGTCTTTCTATGGATAGATAACGGCTTTGTCTGGATGTGTTGTCTGTGCCCTCTTAATATCTTGTCTTTCAATCCAGCTGCCTGTATTATTTGGCTGCGCTGCCTGAATATCGCCATGGAAACATGTAATCGTCAAACACAATCCCCTACTAAATGATAACAGGGACTCATTCAGTAGTACCCCATCAAAAGTTAGAAAAAAAATCTGTGCCTGACACAATCAACATAAAACTGGGTGAATGTGACGATCATATTAAGATGCACAAGAAAAAGTCACGAACTGAAACTAGCTTCAATGCTCATTACAAAATTCATTGGACATGACTATCAAGGACCTAAAATTAAAAGCAAAGTTGGCCATTTTTCTTTGAATCCACAATTTTAAGCAATATTCTGACGAGGGAATTCACTAAAATGAGTCCCAATCGGATGCATTCGAAACCGGGAGCATACCACTACGGCCAACTCACATCTAGAGATTATTTTAGACCTGTTACTTTTCTGCCATTTTCACATGAATGCAATATTCTTGGAAGGGCAGAGAGTAAGATTACAAGTGATCTTACATAAATTGTCTTCATGGTTTCCTAAAGAGAAAAAAAATGCACACGAATCGCAATCTGGCCCAACACATTCATAATATGAGCAGCAACAAATCCAAGTAAAAAGCAACGTTGAGAATGGTGAAGAATGAAGAGATTTTTGTGTCAATATGATTTTTAGATTTGAATGAACGGGCTATCAATTGCAGGATGCAAAATGGTGTCGGCCATCAGTGGCAATTGATCATTCTGACTGGCCGTTAGCGAGCAACTCACCAGAAGTAGACTATGAAATAGTACACGAAAATGATCAAAAAAAGAAGATGATTAAAAAAAGGCATTATCGAGGAAATTATGTTCAGCAAAACATTGCATGTCTGAGTAAACTTGTTCCTGCTTAATTATGAGTGTGACAGGCATTGTTCTGTGTATGTGTGAATTGTATTTCTTTAAACCGTGGCTGTGGATAGTATGATAATGACTTCTCAGTTACAGAGCATGTAATTGTACACGTGTGAGCACAAGTGTGTGCTTATGGCTAGCCCTCAGTGGGATGATGTGTCACCCACTGACGATTTCTGACTACGCTCCTGTACAAGATATTCAATATAAGCCATCTTAAGTGGCCTGAGCAGGGTGTAAATAAATCTGATGATTATTTCATGTTTCTGTCATGAAAAAAGTGGGTGTGGGGGCCTGCTCATCGGAGTGGTTTTCTCAAGACAAGGAAATGGAAGACGGTGTGAACATTTGATGTTCATTGTCTTCCCCAGTCATTGAATTGGCAGGTCTCTGCTGTTTTCACCACAAGTGTTGCCAAGGGTGTCAACGATACGTTCAATTAGCATCTCAAAGCAACGACTTTTCAGCGACTTAACGAGGGCGCCATCTGTTTTTGCCGTGTTGTGACCTAGTGAGCACGCTAATAGAGAAAGAGAGAGCGAGAGGGAACGAGTACATCTGGCAGTCACCCAGAACGAGACGAAACCCTGCCAGACATTTTCACACCAGCCTGTTGACAACAAGTAGTGTGGTCAGTAGTCATGGTGGTTGAACAACAATCTAGAATTACTCCGGGTACAAGTCTTTGCATTTAATGTAAAATTCACTTATAAATGTTTCTCTGCAAATAGTTGCGTCCAATTTCGTTTTTCCTCCCACGACTCGGCGCTACGCTGTCTGAAGATCCCTTACTTTCAAGGAATGTCAGTACAAAATGGAAGCAGAGCACCGTTTCCAAGTGGCACATACTCATACGATTGCCAAAGTACCATCCAGTGGTCCCTAACCACCGGTACGTGGACCAGCTGCAAGCGTATTCACTTGATCAGATGCGGCAGAAATGTCCATGACAGTAGCAAATCAGAGTCCAGCTTTTTCTTCGAAATTTGTTTTGCGATATGAAGTAATTGAAGAATTAAACAATGGCCGAACACGCAGTTAAACACGCAGCTGAATGGCAGCCATATAACTTGTAGTTATCTTTTTAAAATGAAGCTATTTTCCTTGCATTGCTTTTGTGTTGGAATCTCCAAAGCGAGGAGAGTAAATGAAGCCATTCTGCACGTAATGTCCTCAAAAACAGGCAGTACAACAGTCCTGTTAATCATTTTAGTACCATCCAAGTGATGATGTGCGAAGCATGAAAATGCACACAGTGTGCATCCTTAGCATTAGCAGTTGTGGTCGATGACAATATAGAATAACTCCCAACGGTGCATTGGTTCTCTTTATTTAACTCTGGTGCGAGTTGAGATCTGGTCAGTTGTGTCCTCTGCGAGACCTACTGAGGCCACTCAACCGCTTACACTTGAAAGGAAAGGGAACAAAGGCCCAGCTAGATGTCAATGAGAACTGTAAATCATTTTTACGGTTTACCCTGAAGGTATAACAGCCTGTGAACACGGCATACAGTATGTACTTCATTCCTTATCACGCATCAAGGTGAACATTTGGAGGCGTGAAGGATACACAGCGGAGTAAAACTTGGTTTCCTGCAGGCTGGGGTTGATCAAAGGCTAAAATGTTTTGTGTGTTGACATACATCCAGTATTTGAGAAGTAACATTAGATATTCATGCCATATGTGGCCGGTCCCTATTTGAAGGGAAGTACAAAGGATATGTGGGGGCCACACAATTTCGGCTGACTGCAGCTACTTTGACATCAGCACTTGACCTGAATAAAATCCTTTTCCAATCTGAAAATGGCTGCGTGAAAGGGAGTTCTTTCATCGCCAACTAAGCAATGGCTCAGTGGGGACTCTGGAGCGTTGCTGGGACTGACCCCGCATCTCAAAGAAAACATGCAACACAGTTTATCCGCTACCAACGAAGTGTGCAGCCACTGTAATAAATTAGCAATCAATCCTGTCATATTTTGATCATGCGCATTTGTAAGTAGCCATGATGTTGATACCACATGTGGGATCATAACTTCAAAATTAGGTACAGTATACATTTTAAGGCATATTCATTCATCCAAAGGGGTTCCACATTTCATCTTCACTTTGTTATTTTATATCGTTATACATTTGCTGTAATGGTGGTGAATAAATCAAAAGATCTTTTTTCATTAAATTTTGAAGATGCACTTTCGATGTTCATAAAATGTTGGAAGTATTCTCCAGTTACCGTAGTTTTCAGGTAAAAAAGTTGTGATAATGATCGTGATTTTTATTCATCTTTGTGTTTGAATTAACCAGTTGTGTTTTGCAGTCTGGACATTGAAGAGTGAACATCTCTGGATCTGGAAGGTCCACAAATTTGCAGAAATCTCCAAGAATGACACCAAAAGTTGCTAACTTGGTTTCAAGTCGGTTGATGGCTTTGAAACGTCACAACAACCGCAAAGTGTAGACAACTTTTAAGAAGCTTTACAAAAATGCACGTCTCCTTTAAAGTCAAGAATCTATAACTGGGCTATGCACTACTTTGTGCACTGGTAGCACAGACAGCACAGACTTGGTTGCAGTGGTTGCAGCCTTTTTGGGGGCGGTAGAGCATGACCATATTTGCTGATGTATAGTCATCTCAATTGGCATACAGTATTGTGGTTTCGGATGGTAGCAAGATTGACAGCGACTGAAGATATATTTGCAAACTATTACGCTGTAATAAGAACTTTGTTGACAACCACCAGCGGCTGACAAAAATGTGATTGCAACCCCAACATTCTTCTTGATACATGTCAGCGTTTATAGATTGATAGAAGGCCCACACTTAGATATTTAGCATTTACTGCATCGAGGAACTTTTTTTTTTTCTCTTTTGAGTGTGAAAGGTAAATTTGAATGCACTTCGCATCTCATCGACTGTGAAAGATGTCAATGTTTCATGTCAGGGTCTGGTTATGACCCGTTTGAACCACAAAGGTTGAGTGTATGACAAACAATAATACAAATTTTCAGTCACGAGCATCTGCCTGTTACATGGCAACAGTGATCCAATCAACCCGCAGCACACACAGAAAATCAAAAGCGATTGCTGAATACAAGTTCATAGTTTGAGACTCAACCGGCCATATGCATATTGTGTTTTACAACAGCAGTCGCAACAGTATTTTTAATTCTACCTGTACAACTAAAACAAGACAAGCAGGCAGTCTCCGTTGCCAAAATGTGGAGCGGGTTGTGTGCGCCTCAGTCAGTGGAAGCGAGCTGAATTGACAGCCGTCCTCGACAAAGAAAATAGTGCTAGTTAAGTTCAGTGGCTGTTATCGTGGCAAAATACATATCCAGACTTAGATATTTATCTATTTAATTTGTACCGGAAAGTTTTAACCTGAAACGCGTCCCGTCTTCTGTGTGCAGTCTGACAGACGACCACAGAGCTGGAACGCCTTCAACGTATGCGCCGGTATCGTTAAAACACGCACTCGCGCTGGAACCTTAACCAGTACACATTGAAAAAAATGGGAGCATTTGTGAGCATATTAGGCCACGCCGTCAAGCCCTGGATAATGTGCCGTCGTTTCTCTTGTGGAGTGCACCACCTTCTCGTGGATCTCCTGTGTGGACTGGGCATCGCAGAAGGCCACGGTGGCGATGTCCTTCAGGATGGGCATCTCCACTGTGCAGTCTCGCCCGTCCAGCAGAGCCACCAGGGGCCGCGGGTGCATCGGTCCGTTCATGATGGGTGGCCTGATGCCTAATAAGACACAACGGTTGCCGTTGTCAAGGGATGTAAGGCATGACACGACTTCATACTTGAACTGTTTCACGCAGCACACACAGCATCCCACATTCAGGTAATTACATGCATGCCAAAGTCAAGTACAGTAACTTCCCACCATTTCAACGCAGGAAAAATCAGGAGAACAGCAATTTCAGTCACCCCTTTCACATTGCTTTTTATCAGTTTTCCTTACGCTACTCTGGCCTATTCCAATCCAAGTGAACCTCACTGGTTTTCTCAATCATAGTTAATCCCACGACTCGGGATTCCACTGAAGCCGATGTCATGTTTTCCCGACATTGTGACGTCTGCCACACCTGACGTAAACAACTTTCCTCCGGCTTTCCATTGGACTTGTTCCCGGAAAGTCTAAAATGTCTCATGTCCTTCAAATGGAGGACACACAAGTGGAAATTCCTTTGCCTTCAGACGGACGGCTCAAATTTCCTGCTTAAAGGAGCCTACATTCAGAGAAATTGTTAAAGCAGTGATTTCAAGAGTGCCGTCCCGCAAACATTCTGAGGAATCAGACTTGTTGGGAGAAGATGACTTCCTTCATTCTTGTGGTGTCTTGTGATGGATGTCCTTTAAGTGACAAACGGACGAAACGTCAGTTGTGGAATCGTCTACTTTTGACGGCTGCTTTTCCACTACTCCCATGGTAGTTTTACTGTTAAAAATTCAGACTGGGTGACTGCATTCACCGAAGGCGAGGCATTCCTTGTACTGGGCATAATTGATATCGTTGGACCATACTGTACAATTGTAGTTTTTCAAATTCGGTTTTGAGGCTAGGGTTAGGGTTTTATGGCAGTGCTACAGTTTCAAGTTAGGGTTTCAGGGTCGGGTAAGGGTTGCAAATTTGATTTTAATATCAGGGATGGGTTTTTCAAACAGGACTGTAGGTTTTGACATTAGGCTTTCAAACAACAATTAACGTTTCATGCCAAGGGTAAGGTTTCAGCCTTGGGTTAGGGTTTTAAATGAAGGTTCCAAATTAGTATTTCATGCCAAGGTAAGTGTTTCAAACAAGAATTAGAGTTTCACGACGGGGTTACAGTTTAAAGTCAGGGTTTAAGGGAAGGGAAGTGTTCAAATGGCGATTTCAGGCTGGGTTAGTGTCCGTCCAAAGGGTATCAAAGTAAGGTTACAACATGAGGTTAGTTTTAAATTGGGGTTTCAAAACAGGTTAGAGTTTCAAGGGAATTGGCATGTTTGACAAAATGGAGTATTGAGTGAAGAAGTCATACACACCCACATGCTTGTCACTTGTGATCCAAGGGTGCTAAGTCACATTTTTTCATGATTTTCTTCCAAAATACGACTATAAAAATGTGTGTTGTTGTTATTGTTGTCTTCTTGCAACAGACCACCAGCTCGGCACAATCTCAGCCTGCTGTGGCTTCCCTATCAGTGACATCGAATTCCGGTATGAAACCTGATCTGATGATCAAGCTGCTCACATTCAACTCTGCTGTGTGGAAGAACATACACATGCTCAGTGGAGAATCAACGAGCATCGCTGAGAGAAGAACTGAACCACCCAAAACCAGCAAGCACACACGTATCGAACTCAAGGCCTGCGAACCAGATCTGGTGCTGCATGTTTTTTGTTTGCACTAGAGAGAAGAGTGCTGTATGGTAGCTGGTGACTCAACTCACCTCACAAGAAGCGGGTGTTTGGCAAATCAGTAAAACTAAAGGGGGGCACAGTGGTTGACTGGTTACTGCGTCCACCTCACAGTGCAGAGGTGCAGGATTCGATTCTGGACCCCCTCTTCCTGTGTGGAGTTTGCATGCTCTCCCTGTGCCTGCATGGGTTTTCTCCGGGTACTCCGGTTTCTCCCACATTCCAAAAACATGCATGGCAGGTTAATGGAACACTCAAAAATTTCCCTTGGTGTAAGTGCGGATGGTTGTTCGTCCATGTGTGCCCTGCGAGTGGCTGTGGCCCCCAGTTCAGGGTGTACCCCGCCTACTGCCCAAAGACAGCTGGGAGACGCTCCAGCATGCCCCGCGACCCTTGTGAGGATAAAACAGATCAGAAAATGGATGGATGGATGGTTTTTAAATTAGGGTTTGAAACCTGGGTTGGTGTTTGGAAGTAGGTTTAATTGGACAGCTTTACAAATCAAGGCTTCAAGTCTGGATTAAAGTTTCAAGTAAGGGTCAGTGTTTCCAAGTAGGGTTAAATTATAACACATCATATATAAATTAGGGTCTCAATCCAAGGTTAGTGTTTTCAATCAGGCATTTGACACATAGTTAGCATTTCAAGTCAAGTCAGATTTAGGCTTTCAAATGAGGCTTTCAAGGCAGGCTTCGGGTTTCAAGTCATGTAGCTAATGCTCAGAGAATTGTGCACCAGGTCATCTAGTTCCCACGTAATTTAATCTGAGCAGTTTGATGCCTTATTTATCGATTGCTTCTCCCTGAGCCGAAAGTGATGGATGCCATATCCCATGACCTTGGACTCTCTGCCTCCCCAGGGGGGACGAGAGGGGTAGCAAACGCGGTGGTCCCCAGAAGACATCTCGTTAGCATTCTTCTCAGAAGAAGGCGCTGAGCCTTTCCATTCGACTACCTTCATTCCCCTTTTTGTTTTCTAGAACAGTCTTTCGCAGCCACCTGTGTGTATGTGCGTGCAGCGAACGTGCACGGGTGCTTGTTCTTGCTAGCCTTCATTTTCTGCCGTCGCCCACACACACACACACACACACACACACACACACACACACACACACACACACACACACACACACACTCACAAACTAGCACACACATTCTTGCGAGGCCAGCGCATGATAACGTAGTAGTGTAGGAGAAAGACAGGGAGGAACAACAGAAGCGAGAAGAGGGGACGTTCGCAAACATACACACAAACAACACGCACACAAATGTACCTAGAGGCATTCCTTTGTTGAGGAGATGTGAGCTTCCCATGGTTTTCACATGTAGAATCCGCTCGGCATATGGCGACGGTTTCCTCGCCTCTCTCTCTCCCAAACGTATTCACATGTGCTCCCCCCCCCCCCCACTCCCCTCTCTCTCTCTCTCTCTCTCTCTCTCTCTCTCATAACCCTTCCTTTCTGTCTCCCCACCCCTCCCACTCTTTTTTATTTCCACTACAGTAAATCCCTCCCATTCTGTTTGTGGCAGCGAGGGGGAAGAATGCGAACGAGATGTGTTTTGTACGCGCGTGTGTGTGTGTCGTAACCAGTAGAAAAGGGGCAGAGCCACTACTCATCTTTTGTCTCTTGAACCTGGAAAAAAAAAGAGTTTCGCAATGTCAAGGTATTTGCGAGAGGAGACCAACTTGTTCCCAATTGAAACCTAATTTAACCCTTTGGCGTGTTTGTTTCTGAGCAACAACACTTTGAGAGAAAATCTAACTTTCGTGTTGAATCAAATAACATCCGATTTTTTTTAATGGTACCTCCTTAATCGGTATTGCCAAATTTGGGTATCCGAGCCGTAACTTGGAGGTCCGTAAAATAATTTGAAAACCATTATTTTGATTTCTTATAAAAAAGTACATACCAATTACTGCGGCAACAAAACAAACATCTAGTACCCTATTACTAGTTTTTATTTGTTGTGTGACTAAGATTAGAAGTCAATATAATATTTTGTGAAATTATTTTTCTCCATTGAAATTAATAGCAATGCCAGTGAGCCGTTCCAGACAGGAAATTGCTCTGTATTGCGTAAAAATACAAGAAAAGAGAATGAGAAATAATCTGCATTTATAAAGTGTTATTACTACAGTAGCAGAGCTGGACCAGGACATAAAATATCAGACCAGGCATTGTTGTTTTAGACCTCATAATTAGCAGAGAACAACCAACTAGTAGTGGACCAGTAGTCTTGATTATTTTGTCTTAATAGTCTTCGGACTGGACTCCTTCAAAGGAGCATCAAACAGCGGCAGCACATTCAGAACGTTACACCCTTGGTCTGAGAAAGAACAAAAATATCAGAACATATTACTCCAGTCCTTTACATTGGTTTCCAGTCAGTTGTAGAATAGATTTTGGGTGCTGAATACATAAAGGCAATGTTAATTCAATATAAAGCCAGTAGAGCTCTGAGGTTTACAGACTGTTATCAATTACCAGAGCCCAGGTTTCAAAGCAAACAGGTGAAGCGGCATTCAGCTGTGGAATAAGCCGCCAACAGAAGTGAAGTCAGGTTTAAAGAATAAAAGCTTTAAAATCTGGGTTAAAATCCATGCAAGTTGTATTTTACTATCATCCACAAAGGGAGTCGCTGATGCTATAGTGGTACATTCGCCTGACTTATGTGCGGGCAGCATGCGATCTGTTCCCACTCAGTGATGGTGTAGATGTGGGTGTGAATGGTTGTTTGTCTACGAATGTGCCCTGCGACTGACTGGCGACCAGTTCAGGTTGCAGTCCGCCTTCCACCTGAAGTTAGCTGGGATCGGCTCCAGCAACTCCCCGCAACCCTGTTCAGGATAAGTGGTGTTGAAAATGGATGGATGGATATTAACCAGAAACCAATTCTAGTTATTGTTAGTGTCATGTTCTACTCTGTCTTTGTTTTTGTTTTCATCACCAGCTGGAGTTGAGGACATGCCTCTTCAGTGGTGCACCTGAAAACAAAGTCTTGTACGAACTTTTCAGTTTATGTGAAATAATATGCTTATGTAGTTAGTACGATGTTTTTGTGTTTATATAACCAAACCGGCCAAACTACATCAGAAACAACACCCAACCTACCACAAATATGCTCTCATGCTAGACTAAAGGCCACATGTACAATCTAAATCAGTGGTTCTTAACCTTGTTAGAGGTACCAAACCCAACCAGTTCATATGCACGTTCACCAAACCCTTCATTAGTGAAAAATAATAAGATGCCTTTTTTTACAAATTCAAGACATTAAAAAAAAAAACACATTTTTAAAACCAGAAAAAAAAATCACGTCGACTTCACAGTGCAGAGGTGCCGGGTTCGAATCCAGCTGCCGGGTTCGAATCCAGCTCCGGCCTCCCTGTGTGGAGTTTGCATGTTCTCCCCGGGCCTGCGTGGGTTTTCTCCGGGTACTCCGGTTTCCTCCCACATTCCAAAAACATGCATGGTAGGCTGATTGAACACTCTAAATTGTCCCTAGGTGTGAATGTGAGCGTGGATGGTTGTTCGTCTCTGTGTGCCCTGCGATTGGCTGGCAACCAATTCAGGGTGTCCCCGGCCTACTGCCCGAAGACGGCTGGGATAGGCTCCAGCACCCCCCGCGACCCTAGTGAGGATCAAGCGGTTCGGAAAATGAATGAATGAATAAGTATAGTTTGTTTTTTTTAATTGAATGACATAATATCAGAACAGTCACACGTTGAGTACGAAGCGAACTAAATTTCCCACAGTACTAATTGGACAAGCAATGCAATGTGATCATCTGCAGCCAATGATGGCCAAGCGGACGTGTCATAACTAATTGACATCTTGAGTCGGGTGTGTCTTAACCTCCAAAGCAGAGGCTCCGTCGAACCCCTGAGACCGATTCACCGAACCGCTGGGGTTGGGTTGAACCCAGGTTAAGAACCACTGATCTAAATGCATCGGAGCCCCAAAACGGAAATAAGTCATAATATGTGATGACATTATTAGTGTGTTGTTCTTCAATGACAGTTGATATACAGACTTATATGTACCACATAAGAAATTATATGAGAACCCAAACAAGCTGTGTGATATTGCTACATAAAAATGTCACCACTCCAGATCAATGGCTTGTGCTTGTTTTTCAAATTTGTTTTATTTTTTTTTGACTTGGATGTGTGGTGGATGTCACCGCATTCAAAGAGTCTTACTTGTCCCCACGTTTTAAATTGTTTTTGTTGTCTGTGAAAACATGTATCTTTAAATTGATTTTAGTCAAACAACCCCATTTCTTGAGCTTTTACAAGCAGTGTGAAAGGGGGAAGCTGCACGGAAGCTAAAATTGCAGCACAACGCGTGGAGGAAAAAAAAGAAATAACTAACGATTTGAACACACATCTTGTAATTCATGGTAGTGCCTAGTGTGTTTGCATCTGTGCTTGTGTGTGTGTGTGTGTGTGTGTGTGTGTGTGTGCGTTTATTTGTGTGTTGGTGTGTGTGTACCCACTGCAGTCATCCCCACCTGCAGGCGAAACCCCTCCTCTCTGTGTCGCTTTCATGCTGCATGTTTCCGCATCTTGAAGATCCGCTCCCCTCTTTCTCTTGAGTTGTGCTGAAGCGAGCAACTGAGAGGAATACTTATAGCCCATCAGTCGGCATCCCGCGGCTCCGGAGCCTCATGCGGCTCTTTCATCCTTATAATGCGGCTCCGATTGGCTTGGGAAAATAAATTACTAAAAATTTTTTTTTTTGTATTTAATTGAAGTGTGTTTTATTTGTGTTAGTTTTTACATTATTTTAGTTCTAAATTTGAAGACTATTGTGATGTTGAAATATTAAAATATTAATTAAATTATTTGATATTATTTTTTCGTCGCTCAAAATAGACGTCACACTGCGGAAGCTGGTATACCCGCTGAAACGGCGTCTATTTTGAGCGACTTTCAACCCCGGCAAAGCCAATGGAGAAATGTAAGAAAAGAAAAATATCTCAAGAAAATAGAACATTCAATGATGCCTGGGCAGATTCATTTGCATTTACCTCGGGCGAGAGTGGCCTACCAGTATGCCTAATTTGTGGAGAAAAACTGGCTAACAATAAACGGTCAAATGTCGCAAGACATTTTAACAATACACACAGAGCCTTTGCTGAAAAATATCCAGAGGGAGAAGAGAGGAAAAAAGCTGTTTCGGAACTGATGCAGAAGGCTGACCGGACGAAAAATCAATTCAAGAAGTGGGTGAAGTCTGCAAATTCAACTACATATGCAAGCTTTGTGGCCGCATTCAGACATTAGTTATTTTTTCAAGAATTCAAAATGTGTTCATTACATCGGTAAAATTTAATTTTCTCCGTAGCACTTCATAAGACATAACCACACTATAGTTGTTTATACAAAGTGTAAAGGTAAGAAAAAGCAATATATACAGTGTTATCTTCATTTTAGATAAGATAAATGGATATAAGGATGACGCCTCATGGCATTTTTCTGCTTTCGTTTGCTACATGGACAATTTAAATTCAGCTTTTTAATTTATTTGAAAGAGACATTCATTGTTATTATTTTTCAAGAATTCAAAATGTTCAAAATGTGTTCATTAAATGAATAAAATGTAATTTTCTCTGTAGCACGTGGATTTCATAAGAAACATGCTGCGATAAAGTAGTAGAAGTTTTTTTTTTCATTTTAGATGTGCGGCTCCCAGTGTTTTCTTTTCCGTGGAAACCGGGTTCAAATGGCTCTTTCGGTGTCAAAGGTTGCCGACCGCTGTTATAGCCTATATACTAGCATGCATGGCTGCACTATGATAAACAAACATGCGCGCGCGCGCGCCCCGCGCGCGCGCACACACACACACACACACACACACGCACACACGCACACACAAATGCATTATGATATAATGCTCTACCGGTATACTTCATACTCAGATACATATTGTAAGTTCCTCCTTTAGCTTCATTAAGCTTTCAAAGAAGGGTTTTGGATAAAGGTTAGGGTTTAAAAGTATGGTTTTAAGGCAGGTTAAGGCTTCAAAACAAATCAGGATTCAAGTTTCAAATTAGGGTTTCAAGGAAGTGTTCGGGTTTCAAAGCAAGGTTAAGGGGGGTTAAGATTTCAATGTCAGGTTTAAAGTCGGGGTTAATGTTTCAAAGTAGGGTTTTTAGTCAGCATTAAGGCTTCAAATTGGTATTTCAAGGCACGATTGTGGTCTCAAAGTAGGGTTTCGTGTTCGGCTAGGATTTTCAAAGTAGGGTTTCAATTGAGGGTTAGGGTTTCAAAATAAAGTTTCAATTTAGGGAAGTTTGAGTCATGGGTAGGATCTCAAATGAGGGTTTTAAATCAGGGTGAAGATTTCACAGTACACTTTCTACCCAGGATTAGGGTTCCGAAGTAAGTTCAAATCAGGGTTTGCGTTCCAAAGCAAAATTAGGGTTTTACAGTAGGGTTTCAAGACAGGGTTTGGGTTTTACAAGTAAAGTTCTAAGTCAGGGTTAGAGTTTCAAAGTAGGGTTCCAAGGCAAGTTTGAAGTTTCTAAGTAGTGTGTGAAGTCACAATTGGGGTTTTAAAGTTGGGTTTCAAGTAGGGTTACTTCATCAAAGTAGGATTTCAAAATAAGGTTTGAAACCAGGATTGGAGTTTTACTGAAAAGTATCAAGTTAGGTTTAGAGCTTCAAAGTAGGGTTTTCAGTGAGGGTGAAGATTCAAAGAACACTTTCAAGTCAGCGTTAGGACTCCAAAGTAAGTTATCAAATCAGGGTTAGGATTTAAAGGCAGAAATAGAGTTTCACATTTGGGTTTCATGCCAGGGTTTGGGTTTTAAAGTTGGGTTAGAGTTTTGGAGTGGGGTTTCAAGGCAAGTTTCAAAGTAGGGTTTAAAGTCAGGGTTGGGGTTTTAAAGCAGAGGTTTAGTCAGGGTTGTACTTTCAAAGTAGGGTTTCAAGCCGGGGTTTGTGTCAGAGTTTCCAGAAGTTGTCAAAAATTAATACAACATGAAAATTTGAAGGGAACTTCTGAAAATATAGCTGAAAACGGAAATGCATTTTTCTGCATCAATTCGGTTGTGAATGAGAATATTATTTGAAAAAAGGGTGACTGGTTAGCACGTCCACCTCACAGTGCAGAGGTCATGGGTTCGATTCCGGGGTCCAGCTATCCTGTGTGTAATTTGCACGTTCTCCCCGTGTCTGCGTGGGTTTTCTCTGGGTACTCTGGTTCTCTCCCACATTTGTCTTTGCCCTGCGATTGGATGGCAACGAGTTCAGGATATACCCCACCTACTGCCCAAAGTCGATAGAGATAGGCTCCAGCACACCCTTGACCCTCGTGAGGATAAAGCGATTCAGATAAGGGATGAATAGATAATTTTAAAAAGTCAATTTAAAACTGTGATTATTGGTCCGCTGGTGTTGATGTTTCCACCATTACTACAGATGGCGGTAGCGAGCTTACAAGGCCATGCTGACGCGTTAGGAAAAAAACGAAAAAAAAAACACAAACAAGCATTCTGTTGAAACCCACACGCACAAAACCAAGATGGCGGTGCAGGAGACAGCGTCTCAACTCTCGATGGCTCTCAAAGTACAAGAATATCCTACGCTCAAGGTAAACAACCGACACCGAGTGAGACCGAACGACCACTCGGCGCTTGTCGCGACCTGGCGTGGGGGAGTGGGGGCGGGGGTTGGAGAGAGTTCCTGACTCCTGGCGAATTTGACACCCGTCTTGGTAAGATTTCAATGTTAGCCAAGATAGCTTAGCCCAGATATCAAATCTTCGTATTTTCCCCTCATAACGAATGTTGGGATTTAGCATGACAGGCTTATATGTGCTTTCTGTCCACTAAATTACAATAAAGCCTTTAAAATGACATGTCAGTGTAACATGGGGTCCCCCCTTTATTCAACATGGACGACGGGGGTGGAATGTGTTTCTTGTCGTAAAATGGCGTCACGCTGAAACGTTTTGACAGTCAGCTGGAAGTCGAACGGCAACGTGGTCGCACCATTTATAAGGGCTCAAAAGGCAAGCTCGCTTGGGGCATACCAAATCGAGCAGGCTAAAAGTGATATCTGTTGAAATCACTAGTGTTGGTCGAGTTAGTTGCGGGGGGCTCGTGGGGCAATACAGCTCCGTTTTAGGGGGGCTAGTGGGAGCCCCGTCCTCCGCGAATGTTCCCCACAAAATGGCCAGCGAGAGGAAATGAAAGCAGTCGCTTTTCTCTCTCACTGCGACACCAAACCCGGATTACCTCCCCCATCCTCATCTTCCTCCTCCCAACCTCGCCCTCTGCACACACGTCTGGATCTGTCGCCGTGAGTAGCTATCCATGAAGAACCTCATGCATCATCCTTGTATGTGTTATGTTGAAGGAGGTGTGAGTGTAAGGTGTCTGTGCTACGATGCTGCAGTCAGGAGGGGTTGGCGATGATGGGATCCATTTTAAGTGCAAATGGTGGGGCATGAGGCCCACATCTGCAGGCATTGCAGGAAAAAATTGTCGTCACAGCTGCTAATCTTCATTGCTTGAAATAGCCCACCAAGCCTCATGTTAAATATAGTGGTTATTATTTGTGGCGTTGTTACAGTTTGCCTGTTAACATGCTGATTCATGTTTGAAGACATTTTAATGTAGTCCAATGCTGTTAACAGTGTTTCTAGCTGCTATTCGCCGGATTAAAGAATGGAGCTCACTGCATGGGGAAGAGCCTAGGGACCAAAACCTGCCGCTAAACTCTGTGAGTAATTCTAGCCCACCCCATAAGGTTTGTCATTGCCTATTGATGCCTCAGGCACATTTTTCCTCTTGGACAAATTTATGGCCTGACTAAATGAAGCCCCTCATGTCAGGTCAACATGGTCCCTTGTAAGGCTGCACCAATTTTTCAAATAACTCAAATAATCTGTTTAAAAAAAACGTGTAGCAAAATATCCGCATCAAAGCTTTGTAATGAATGATAATTTTTCCTCACGACTGATGTTACAGCAGAATCAAGTATAAATGAGTTGGCACGATGTTGCCAAGCCAGGCAGAAAGAATGCATAAAAGACAGGGGTTTTAAAGATAAGACAATAACAAACTGTACAATGCAAAGCACAACTGACTTGCACAACAGCATGTGTATGATCGTTAGATTATAGTATTAAATATAATAATAGTACTAAAATAAACATGTAATAAACATATTCATACACTACCTGCTGAGCCATAGCCCAGGGATTCAATGCACACGATAAATGGTTCGCTAATTAACACACATCTGCTAACCTGAGCACACAACAGCCAATTTACACTCTCTTTGGTAGCGCCCAAATCACACTATAAGTAACAGACACACTCATTCAAAGTCACGAATCATTTTGTGATTAACATGAGGATGGCAACCCCAAGTCGACAAAAATCATATCTTTACCTCAAAATGCCTATTTTGCATTGGTGGTGTTTGTTCGTTTGGTCAATTTGTTACTATTACTTTCTATTTACTACTTGTTCTTTAATTTATTGGTGGATTCTGTATATTTCAACTTGCAAAACAAAATTAGGAGGAAAAGCTGAACTCTAAATTAGCTAGAGTGGCACACCTTGACATATTTTAGTCTGATGGAGTAAATATGCTCATAGCTCTCAGATCTGTCTCTGCACGGCCTGGTACTGGTCCACGGACCAATGGTTGGGGACGACTGGAATAATTCAATAAATGTTGCCCACAGCCAGCGTGACCTTTGCCTTTGCATAAAAAAAGTGAATGGGTGATTTTTTTTAGCAAAGAACAGGCTGCATTGGCCTCCCAAATCTGGAAAATTTGTGAATGTTGAACATTGCATATACAAGCCTTCACTATGAATGTGTTGTGCTTGAATACAAATGTCCTGTGGGCTAATAATCTAGCTCACTGATCTCCAGAGATCATCAGGTGTGCCATGGAAAAGATGTACCCCACCGGCTGCCCCAAGACAGCTGGGATAGGCTCCAGCAAGCCCGCGACCCGTCTGAGGATAAGCGGATTACAAAATGGATGAATGAAGATAGGACAGTGAAAATCATTGTTCTGAATTCATGATTTCACCTATTCACAGATTTTTGCAGGGCACAAGGGGCCTGTCCTCTGTCATTTGCTGAGAAACTCAAGTATTTGATGTTTTTTTTTTTTTGCTCTGTCCAAAGCCCTGTCTAAAAATTTTTTTTAATGATTTGTTGCTCCTGGGGCCGTCTGGGTGTCAAGCCACTATGTTGATATGAGGGCAAGACGTTTATTTTGTGGGGTCTTTTATGAACATCTCGTGGCATCAAAAGGCAATTGCAAACCTTTTTGGGTGGGCATCAGTTACCCTTGAGTTCTATGCGCGTAGGCTCCAGAGGTAATTTTTGTTCTGTTATGTTCAGCTATCGATCAATGCAAACTGTGACAGGCAGAACAGGTTCTGTAAATGTCTTTCTCCTAGATGGCAGTAGTGTTGTGCTTGAACGAAAGGTCAGGGATTTCATATTGTTGGCAAACACGAACTGAACGGAGTGTGTGTCTCCCTGGTGAACGCATACATACTGGCGTTTGGCAACAATTTTTGAATGGCAGTTCACATTCGTTTAAGATTGGCATGTTCAGTTAGAGTTCCAGGAAAAACATTGCTAAACACACGGCAGACAGTCCATATGTAGAGGGATAAATGTCTTATCTGGCAACCCAAGCTACAAAGACTTGAATGGCTGCATCAAAATGTAAAGCATGATCTTGGAGCTTGGGGTCGGGGGGCGGTTACACCAATCAGGAAGTCTGTATTGTTTGATGAAAAATCCCAAGGTCATTTCTTGTTTGTCCCTGATAGGCATTAGAGCGCTTTCCCTTTGGCTTTCAATGTGGGGGCTTGATACTCTAGTGAAGAAAGCGGGTGAAGCAGCTAGGAATGTCCCGATCACGCTTTTTTTGGCACTCGAGTCTGAGTCTTTGGTTTCAAGTATCTGCCAATGCAGTGTCATGATCCAATACCTCGGCATTGCACTAAGAAAAAAAGAGCATGCATCCGATTTTTCTTAAATTAATATAGAAATATACATCAATGTGTATGGGTTGTATGTATTAAATATATAGTATAATATGATCTGGATATTTCCACCAAATCAGTGCCGATTGCTTGTTTTTTTCTTCCCAAAATAAACTCAGTTCTATATTTATTCCTCTTTTTTCTGAGCCCAACATTTCATGATACACATATTGAACAACTCAATGTGTATTGTTTCATATATGAACTTGGTTTATGATGTCAGCGTTTTGTACTGAAACAATGGGGTTTTTAAAAATAGCAAATAGACACTATACCCATGACATTTGCACTCGGTGAATGTAAACTTAAAAAACAATACATATCAATGTGCAGGACGCTATATAAAAACGTATTTTCATGTAGTGTATGCACGTGTGTGACTTCTCTCCTCTAGAAATGACACGGTTGATTTACAATCTTGTGAAATGACACCAGTGGGGAACAAGCTTGCTTATCACCAAATAATTTACATTACTGAAACTTCTATTTGAAGTTATGTCATTTGGATGTGTCACAATTGCTAACCTGTCCGTCGTACTCTCAAATCTTTGACGATGTCGTTCAGCGAGGAGTATTCTTTATATCAGGCAAGGCAGACTTATTGAAGAGGATCTTTTGGCTTGCCTTTTCCTCCATACAAGATAAACCTACCACTCTGTCTCTGAAGACAAACCTACCACTCTGTCTCTGCCTGCAAGTGGGTTGACATTTTACGGTCACCTGAAGACTTGGGGCGAGTTAAAATGGTGTGTTGGGCAGACAGAGGGACATAGCTAAAGGGAGAGCTCATTTCTGACCTCAGCCTGGTTCCTACCTAAGGTTATATTGTGCTTGTGCATTAAAGAATGCATTCGTTTTTATTCTAATTCCTCATTTATAATTAAGAGCATTCATGAAACAAGCTCTTCTTCATATTTATTTAGACTGAAGGGTGAAAGTAGCGGCGACTAGTGCGGACTGAATGGGTTGCAACATTGGGGGAAATGCCACTGTTTTGAGGGTCATAGCTTGCACCAGCATATTGGAAAAGACAAACTATAAGCTAGTTAATTTTTGGAACTGTGAACTTAATGTATTTAGTCCTTTTAGCCTAATGTTGCTGTCAGCTGAGGGTTTCTGGCTTTTCGTTTCCAATGTTACAGTGTGTGGTAATATAATTGCGGTCTGTGGAACACATCCAGCCTTTGCTGGAACCGAGCAATTAAAGGTTGGATCATGGTGACTGCATTGACTAGTTTACAGCTGTTCGACGGTCAACCCTGATAGGATTTAGCATTAGTTAAGGCAATTACACAACCACCAGTCACCAGATTGACTAGCGATGTTCACTTTTTTCCCCATCTGGAGGAGAATCCCCTCCTCTGCCCAAAGCAACCCCCCGTCAAGTTGTGCGGCAAACAAAAGCAAGGCAGCACAGTCCGATATTTTAGACGGGTCTGAACCTAGCGTAATAGCGCCAAATATATCAAATAAACATACGGTACAATTACAAGAAACTATTTAACATACAACGCTTCACAAAAATAATGTGCGTTATTACCCTGTGCGTCTTATGTATTAATTTTGTTTTTGTTTTTTAAATAGAGCCGTTCATTGATACTCAATGATATGGTGTGCCTAATGGTCCGTAAATACAGTAGTTCAAAATCTTGAATTTTGATCTATGACCTGAACTAGTTCATTTTAAAGCTTGTGAACTGAACTTAAAACTAATTTGGTGTTCAGTTGTGCCCAAATTGAGTGAATTAAATCGTTCCAGTGTCATCTGGGGGTTGAGGCAGATTGGTACTCCATATTGTGGTCTTTGCAGCATTCCATTCAGGAGGTTCCACTATGACATCCATTTTGTTTGCTCTCTCTCTCTCTCTCTCTCTCTCTCTCTCTCTCTCTCTCTCTCTTGGATCTACTGCTTCCATACTATAATAGATTTTTGCGATATCAGGAGATATAAAGCAAATCGCAGAAGGGAAAAAAACTTGATTTGAATGGTATCATTGTAATTTTTTTTAAATTAAAATTGAAAATCTGATTTTTGACCTTTTTTTTGGATGGGCTATACAGTATTGGCCACCCGTACTTGACACAGTATTTTCTTCCTTGCAGTTGCAAATATTCAGGGTCAAGATGCTCAAATATCTCCCCGTTTGTCATCCTTCAGGTGCCCTACGAGACACTGAACAAGCGCTTCCGCGCGGCCCAGAAGAACATAGACAGGGAAACGAGTCACGTGACCATGGTGGTGGCTGAGCTAGAGAAGACGCTCAGCAGCTTCCCGGTGGTGGACTCTGTGGTGTCCCTGCTGGACGGCGTCGTGGAGAAGCTCAGCGCACTGAAACGAAAGGTAACGCGAACACGCTTCTTTGGACACAACATTACGTAGGCGCAGACGTGGCGAACGTACTCACACTTAATTTTTACGTAGAAGTACTGATACGTGGGTAAAAAAGTACTAATTGAACTCCTTAACTCATAAAGAACTCAGTGAAATCCTTAATTAAGTAGACTCTTGCCTGTACCTTAGTACAAAACTGAAACTGAACTTTTAATGTCCAATTTGTATAGAACCCATTTGATAACATGGGTCTTCATGGAAAAATAAAAAACTTTTCTTCACACAAACCCCAATTCCAATGAAGTTGGGATGTTGTTGAAAATGTAAATAAAAAAGAATACAATGATTTGCAAATGCTTTTCAACCAATCTTGACTTGAATAAAATTCTAATATAATACTAATTGTTCCACATGGTTGTCGTGAGCAGAAGCAATATTTGTGAGGAAAAATTGTCAACTGATTTGTTAGTGAATCAAGGTTCCACCTTAGAGGGTCCACATTAATTGCTCCTTTTTTTCCACCTCACTAGAGCAGTGCAGCATACTCATAACTTAACCAACGTTATTGCTTGCTAATCCTGGCCAAAAAAAATGCTAAGTGATGGCTTGTATCTCAAAAGTCTCATAAGTGGGGCCTCTCATAAATCGAGGTACCACTGTATCAGATACCTAAAAAGGAGTGACTTCCCACTGAATAAATACAGCATGTTTTCTTTTTTAGGCCGCCGAGTCCATTCAGGCAGAGGATGAGAGCGCCAAGCTTTGCAAACGGCGGATCGAGCATCTGAAGGAGCACAGCAGCGACCAGCCGGCCTCGGTCAATCTGTGGAAGAAGAAGCGCATGGACCGCATGATGGTCGAGCACCTGCTGCGCTGCGGATACTACAACACGGCTGTCAAGCTGGCGAGACAGAGTGGGATCGAGGTCAGCCATTTTGTTTTGAAGTGCCGCTCGCCAGTTTTGTTCCATGCGTAATCAAGTCTTTTAACGTTTGAGGATCTGGTCAACATCGAGATGTTCCTCACGGCAAAGGAGGTGGAGGAGTCGCTGGAGAGGCAGGAGACGGCCACCTGCTTAGCCTGGTGCCATGACAACAAATCTCGCCTTCGCAAGATGAAGGTAGCCAGTTCGTAAGGCTGAGTCCCATCATACTGTTCACAATAAAATCATGTAACATGTTCCATACACACATAGTCAAGTCAATGAGATGCAGGTTAACCTCCAGTGACAATCATAAAAAGAGGAGCCACTTTTAAAGTTGTTTTTATTGGTTTCAAGCTAGGATTGAAAGAGCAAGTTAGGATGTAAAATTTTGTTTCAATCCAGTGTTAATGTTTCAAATGAAGAGATTTAAGATAGTGTTAGGTTTTCAAGTTTTGGGTTCATGCTGGGGTTGGGGTTTCAAACTTGTGTTTCAAGGCTGTGCTAGGGTTTCAAACAACGTTTAGGAATTCCAAGTAGGGTTTAAAGCCCGGGTTCAAGTTTCAGGCCGGTGCTAGGATTTCAAATTGCTCTTTTAAATTGGTTTTAGGGTTTTAAATCATGGTTTCAACCTGTTTTAGGGTTTTAGATTGGTTTTTAAGGCCTGTGTTTGGGTTTCAAGCCTGAGTTTGGGGTTCAAAGACTGATGTCGAGGTGAGACCACATTAATTTTCAGATTTCTCCAATTTGTTACACGTCTTATTGTTGCACTAGGTGTAGTCATTCTACAATAGGTGTCACAAATGTCATATTCCTTCCATCTGATTTTATTTGATCGTTCAGAGTTGCCTGGAGTTCAGTCTCAGAATCCAGGAGTTCATCGAGCTCATCCGACAGAACAAACGAATGGATGCTGTCAGGTACCTCTATATTGCAATGTTTGTATTAAGTGTAAACTAGTTTTATTAACACCAACTGTTGCCAATTATATGTCAGACATGCAAGGAAACACTTCAGCCAAGCCGAGGGGGGACAATTGGATGAAGTACGGCAGGTGATGGGCATGCTTGCCTTCCCCTCTGACACACACATCTCCCCATACAAGGTAAATCTCACACAATGGACAGAGGGGTAATGTGACCTGGTCCTGGTTCATGTGAGAATCTTGTGGCACTCTCAGGATCTGTTAGATCCAGCCCGCTGGAAGATGCTGATCCAGCAGTTCCGGTACGACAACTACCGACTGCACCAGCTGGGAAACAACTCCGTGTTCACCATCACCCTGCAGGCCGGACTGTCAGCCATCAAGACGCCGTATCCTTCCGCTGCTTTGAACTGTGCCGGTTTGAACCTTTTTTTGTACTTACTGCTCTTATTGTGGGTGGTTTACTGGAGATGACCAACACAGCACACCACATCACCAGTGATGCGTTACTAACAGGTTACTCAGTAAAGACTGCTGTTTTCCGTGTCGTGCGTGCATGTACCCAGCTTAAAATTGAGCAGGTTTAAAGTGTGCAGCTGTCGGCTCTGACTTTTTCCTGAGCAGATTGAGTCAGTAAAATCACTCGTACCCCTGACATACACCACAGGATAATTTTTTGAGGCCTCGGAAGATGAGGCTTTTGCTGACTTTAATCGTAACGTAAGGAAAGTGCTCAAATTAGTTGTACCTAAAAAACTGTGAACCTTAACTGTACCTTACAGTCAGTGTTATAAAGAGGATGGCACCTCCAAGAACCCCGACTGCCCCGTGTGCAGCAAGTCCTTAAACAAGCTTGCACAGCCGCTGCCCATGGCCCACTGTGCCAACTCCAGACTTGTGTGCAAGATCTCCGGCGAGGTCATGAATGAGAACAACCCCCCCATGATGCTGCCCAACGGATACGTGTATGGATACAATGTGAGTGCATGCACACCTGGAATGTGGACAGTAAATTATTTGGTCAAAATGCTACATTAGAAGTGTATAGAAAATTAAATATTACGGAAATATGGTAGATTACAAATACGCGGAGATGGGCATTCTGTCACTGGGGCGGAATGGTCTGTCGGTCAATCCCGGGTGGACGTTCATTTTGGGGATGGGGGGTGAGAAGTTTTTTAAAAAGGACTATGCAAGAACGAAAGTGTGTTTTCATCCATCCCTGTCATCGTCTCTAATCGGGTCAAGTACCTACGGACACCCATTTCACTAACGACGGACAAAAACAGGTCCAGCTTGTACACAGTAGTGTCCCAGAACCTTTCTCAGTCTCTCATTGTTGCACGAGGCCAATTGGCCGTTGGGCTGGGTGGATGGATGTTCCAAACTCGAAAAAAATTCTCTCAATGCAGTAAACATTAATTGCTACAAATATCTAAATGTGGGCTTTCTATCAATCTGATGAATGTTCATTTGCCTTTATCTTAGTATCCTACAATGAATAGTAGATCTGATATTGTTTGTTCGAAAAATTTATTTTTTTAATACATTAGAAAATGCCCTTTAATAATATTTAGAAACACACACATTTAATTGCAATCACAATTTTAAGAAAAAAAATCTGATTATTTTCCAAAATCATTCAACCCTCGTACATCAAGCGGTACAGTCATACCTCGGTTTTCAAACGTCTCTGTTCTTGACCAAATCTGTTTTCGACCAGAAAATCCGAGATTTTCACACCTCGGAAATCGGTTTTCAACCAAACTAAGCTAACCTGAATACGCCACTCGACTCCTCTCTGCTTCCGGTTTTTGACCAAACTGAGCAAATCTGAATATGCCATTCAAATCCTATCGGCTTCCTTACACGAGGAAGTGACGCTTTTCGAACAGCCTTCTGGAACGAATTATGGTTGAAAACCGAGGTATGACTGTATTTATATCAACAATACTCTTTTAACATTGTGGTACATTACAGGTAGGTTGTTAATAAATATGATTTAAATGTTCTTTGCTGTCTTTCTCTGGCAGTCCTTGCTGTCCATCCGCCAAGACGACAAAGTAGTTTGTCCCAGAACCAAAGAAGTCTTCAGCTTTTCCCAGGCTGAGAAGGTTTACATCATGTGATCCTGCACTCTAACACAACAAAAAACGGCAGAAGATTAACCCTGAAAACACTCCTACACACACACACGCACGCACACGCACACACATATATTCCATTCTTGCCCCTCACAGACCCCCTCCTCCCTCCTCCAGCCATTTGATCTCACAGACCACCAGGATGCTTCCTTCAAGACTGGTGTACAGAGATTACATTGACAAACATGTCTGCCAGGTAGTCAAGTATGGGTTTTCTTGCTCAATGCATACATTGCTGCCTCTGACCCCCCACCCCCAACCCTCCACATTGGCTTTAAAAGTCACATCAAGACTGCATTAGAGATGTAAATAGTAAATAGGCGTTGTTCACAGATCTTGATGACTCATCATCGTGGGGGTGGGTGACTGAACAAGTCTTGTCTCCACCGGTTTAACTCCCTTTCCATTCTCAATAAAAGGCTCTTTTATGTTCTACAGTCGCATACTAACTCATGACAAGTATCTTTGATGATGAGGCTGGTCTTCCTTCTTTTTGTTTTTTCGCCTTGCTTGAGGTTTTATTTCATTCATTTTCACCATCCGTCTTAACTTGATTCATTCACGATGGGAGTTTGATAGTGGACAAAAGTACACAAATTCCATAATGTCTCTACAATTGAACCACTGTTATACGATAAGCAATGAACAGACATTTTTTTGGGGAGTAGCTATTGAGGTGTTTTGATACATCTTTCTATGGGCACCATTATTTTCCAAGCTGAAAAGTGGCTAGGAAATTGTTAAGACACTTAGTGGACACCCTGTATTGGGGACATGAGCTTCCCATCTGAGGCTAATCCTCGAGATTGTTTTGACGGGCACATTTTTCCACACACACCACTCATGGGACCTTGTTTTGTGCACTGCCAAGCATACAAGTGTCCCAACACACCTTGAATAAAAAAAGAACTCCTGGTCCAACTTCTGACTAATTTAAGTATGTAATTGTTTAGGTGTTAAAAATACTTTTGTCCAGATAGTGTGTTCTTTTTGAACAAATTTATGAATTTTGGATGTGACAACTTTCTTCCCCCTCGTCATTTTCGATTGATGATGATGATAAAATATTAAGCACAAAATTCAGCATGACTTTCAAAAAACTTTTGAAATTTTCACCACATAGAAGAAGACCAGACTTTTAATTTTAAGACTTTTGACTGGAGGACTATGACAAACAAGGAGTTGCTCTCTTGTGCCCGTTTCGTGACTGTGGACTGTCCTGTGTATTTCTGTTCTTAGACTTAGCCGAAGATGATTTTTTTTTGTCATCGATATGCCTCAAAGATTCTACTTTTTTTTTTTTTTTTTTTTTTTTTTGTGGGTTTTTTTTTTTTTCTCTTTTTTGTGGCATTAGCTCTTCTCATAACGTTTGGGTGAGCCGAAAAATTTTTTTTTTTTTTTTTTTTTTTTTTTTAATTGGCTGCTTTCTTTGTCTCTGCTGTTCTGAGGGTGTCGCTGGCTCATCACTTAACTCTGTTTCCATGGGTATGATGTCTGCTGAGTCTCTCACCTGATATTTTGGATTGAGGTGTGACAATGCAAGCCATAGAGATGGTAATACAGTGTAAACCTCAAACTGCATCATGCCAATAAAGTCAGTTGAATTAACTTTTGCATCACATTTGCATCACTGCTTTGGGGATATTTTGCAACCATTTTGAACATGTTTTAAACCACGGGGGCCTCTTAGGTTTTGGGTGCAGGGGAGAATTTTCTTCCAAGGACTCAATTGTTTAACGCTGGTTTAACATAACTATCATGTGCACCGCAAAATTCTGTATGGTGTTGAATTAGGGTTTAACTTCATTTTCAAGCCAAGCCTTACTTGTGCTAATTACTGTTGCAAAGATGGGGTGAGTGTCAACCTAAGGGTGTGAAAAAGGATTTAAGTTTCAATCCAACGTTAGGGTTTCAAATTGCGATGTAAAACCAGCGTTAGGGTGTCAAATTATGGTTTCAAGCAGGAGTTAGTGTTTCAAACAAGCAAGTGTATCAAATTAGGCTTTCATGCCACAGTTAAGGTTTCAAGTTTGAATTGAAACAAGCCTTGGAGCCTAAAGTTATGGTTTTAAAGCCTAGGTTAAAATTTCAAATGAGGGTTCCAGCATAAGTCAAGCCAGGCATGGATGTCAAAATGAACAAAGGGGAAGTTTCTATTTTTGTTTATTAATATATCAGTCATAATTTGGGTTGACTTTGAGAATGTGATATGTTTGATGTTTATTTTAGTTCGTCATAAAGGAAATTCATCGAGGTAGCTTTCAAAATTTTTGAAAGGATATGCGTTGTCTTTAACGCCAAAAAATGGGGTGAACCCAAAAAGGGGCGGTGCCTATGTGACGTGCTTCAGTATAAATATAACTGCGTCGCTTGCATAACCACCATTTTGAGATTTACCACACTGGTTAAGAATTTTTCAGTGCTATCAGTAATCTATTTCAAACATGTCGGACCAGCTTTGTAAGCTCTTTGTCGGCGGCCTCAACGTAGACACCGACGACGATGGCCTGCGCAAACACTTCGAGCAGTTCGGCTCACTCACTGACTGCGTGGTGGTGGTCAACAAGCAGCTCCAACGCTCCCGCTGCTTCGGTTTCGTTACCTACTCGACGCCGGAGGAGGCCGACGCCGCCATGGGTGCAAGGCCGCACACCGTCGACGGCAACACAGTCGAGGTGAAGCGAGCCATGTCGCGAGAGGACGCCAACAAACCCGAAGCCCTCGCCAAGGTGAAGAAAATCTTTGTAGGCGGGCTGAAAGATGACATCGAAGAGGATCACCTCAACGACTACTTCTCTCAGTATGGCCAAATCGAGAAGTCTGAGGTAATCTCCGAGAAGGACACTGGGAAGAAAAGGGGCTTCGGCTTCGTGTACTTCACCGACCACGACGCCGCCGACAAGGCCGTCGTGATTAAGTTTCACAACATTAACGGACACAAAGTGGAGGTGAAGAAGGCCCTAACCAAACAGGAGATGCAGGCTGCCAACAGAAGCGGCATGTCCCCGAGAGGAAGGGGCGGCCGAGGCATCAGGGGGGGGAATCAAAATGGCTACGGCAGCAGAGACTATGGCGGAAACTACAGCTACGGAAATGGCGGTGGAGGCTACAACAGCGGCGGAGGGTACGGGGGCTACAGCGGACATTATGGGGGTGGCTACGGCGACCAGGGCGGTGGCTACGGTGGCGGCAACGGTTACAGCGACTTCGGCAGCGGCTACGGCCAACACTCCTCTGGCTACGGTCCGATGAAGGGACCGTTCGGCGGCCAGCGGAATCCGTCCCCCTACACACGCGGAGGTGGCGGTTACCCCAGGGGCGGCTACGGCGGCTACTAGACCAGACATCGGACCATACCCCACCAGATTATACCTCCAGCCCCGGATTTGGACGTCAAAAGTCAAAACTCAGTAACGGGGGTCGACCCCCACAAACAAAATGAAGACCTCAAAGCCCCCAAACAGGTAGGAAGGTCACTTCCCAAAAAGAACCAGATTAAAACAGATTAGGACACTTAAAATACAATTTAATAAAACAGTTTATAAACATTTTATGTATCATTGCCCACACGTGTAGTAGACGTTTAACCAATTAGACCATTTTGCGTTATCCATTGTTAAAAGTTGAATGTAGGCTTGTTTTTTTATGTTTATTTTAATAATTTAGATGTATTTTTCTTTCCAGTGTACGGGCATGAGTAAATTTTGATCTGTTTTTTTTTTGTAGCTGTTGTCACGAGGCCATTTTGTGACTACTCACGTTTTCCCCAAGTAAAGATGGCGGGAGGCGCACTGCTTTTGTTTCCCCCTCCTTGTGCCCAAACAGACCACGCTTTCATCTTAACTGGCGTTTTGGCAAATTAGCGTCAGTTTGTAATTACTCCCCACTCAGCCTGTAGAGCAATATCCAAATGTATGCTTTGTACTTTCATGTTCTTGAGAAAAACATCATTATTGTTTGAAGACACATAACTCTGTATGTTCATTCTTAAATAAAAGGTTACACCACATAGCTTAGTTTTACTTTACTTATTAATCAAGTTTATTCACAGGTCAGCTTTGTAGTTACACAGGGGCCTCTTTTCACAGTTTAACAGTCAGGTGGGTGTATAAAAGAATACACAAGTCTACCCACAGCCAATGCATGTAGGCTATGTAGGGTTTGACCATGTATTTCTTATGTGATTTATGAAATATAATGAACTATCTCGCATTTATGAATATATTATCTCTTATGTGGACACATTTTATCATTTTTGCTCATTCCTGTTGATTATCCCTACATTTAGGTGTTCTTACACGTATTCCAGTAGGCTATCCCAGCCAAAATAGCCGTAGCAGTTTGTTTGTAGGCTACGTCAGGACCCTGTTGATTACCTGGGGTCGGTTGTGATAGGAGTCTGAAATATCTCTTTAGGATATCCACATCCAGCCAACTAGGTATGTAAAATCAACCTGTCTTATCTCTGTGTTGGTCAACCATGTATGGAACCATATTATATCTTTAATCCTAGCTAATCCTTGTGTAAAAAGCCATCAGGGGGGGGTCTTAATTAGGTTCCAAATGACTTGGGAGGAGGGGATCCAAGTGATGTTCCACCATTTTAAATTAACTATGGCAACAAGTGGTGGCGTGCTGGTTGAACTGTCAATTTGTACACAATCTCACCCACGTTCTTTCGTTTTTCCCATCCAGGTTGCAATAGTAACTTGGGCAAAGGAGGAAGACACCCCAAATGTGCCGGTGCAGGGATGAGCCGGCTGGTGCTTTGTGCCTTCTCCTCAGGTGAAGTCAGTTTTCCATTTGGGATCCTGTCTACCAGTGGCACTTAAGCAGATCAAAGACGACAGTTTGGCTAAAACCATTTATCATGTCAAATTGGCGTTGTTTTTATTACAGGTTGTGGTGCTCAAGGAGATGCTACGTCATAACACACTTTTTTGACATTTTTCTTCGAATAAATTATGACCAATACAATGCCTTTAATGTCAGTTATTTATTGGGGGGTGGGGGGGTTGCTATTTGTTTGCTTTTATATGTGGATGTGCTATATGTAGATCCATACAACCAAGTCTACATGGATGCATAACCTTAGCTGTATAGCATTTCTTATTTAGACATTCACGGGGTGCACGACAGTTTGGAATACATTAATACACAATCCAAATGGGGAAATGAGGGCAAGCTACCAGAAGGAAATGTACAGTAATTACAATAAAACCCATTGTAACAACTGCCTGTTTATAAAATTTCCGTTGTTCTAAGTTGAGTAAAGACACTGTTTTTTTTTTTTTAATCTTGACTGAAGACTTTGACTCTGCCCTTGTGTTAAGAAATCGGGCGGTAAGGCGGTATTGATGTGAAATGGGCGGGTGGATCCTTAAATGATTTGGGCGATGGGTGGATAGGCAGAGTCCAGTCTACAGCAACATTTGTACGGCGCAAATTTGCCGAAAATCATAACAGTCGAAACTCTTTGTAATCAGCAAAACGAGCAGAAGAGACAGACTTGCTCCTTCAGTGTGAAGCCAGTAAGCGCTTAAAGCGATTGGCTCATCCCCACGGCGGGGGCGTCGCCAGTTTTCAAACTGACCAATCAGCACCCGCAACGTTTTACTGAAAGGCAGCGAGTCAAACGGCCCGCCCTACTCCTCGCTCATTGAAGAAGGAGAGGGACGGTGTGTCGCACCTTCCTCAACTCGAGTGTAGTCATGTCGTCCAAACACACAAAGCTTTTTGTCGGAGGTTTGAACGTGGAGACGACGGATGATGGCCTACGCGGTCATTTCGAGCAATTCGGCGCGCTCAGCGACTGCGTCGTGGTCATGAACCAGATGCTAGGCCGCTCCCGCTGCTTCGGCTTCATAACCTACACGACGCCGGAGGAGGCCGATGCAGC